AAATCTGCTCATTACACCCTCTTACCCAAACTCATAGCCTATATGTATGTCAGTTTATATATTTGTCAATTTCGAATTACAAGGACAGATGGCATGTCCTCATAAACCAGCATTACATCACACAAGTCCTCTTAAACCACCAAAAACCTACCACTACATAAGGAATACATGGTACACACATACAACCAAACAAACACACACACAAAAACTTAAACAGACACAAACACACACACAAACAAACACACAAACAAACACACAAAAACTTCGACACACACACACACACACACAAAAAAAACAAACACAGACACGAACACACAAACACACATACATACACAAACAAAACACAAACACAAAGTACACATGCACAGACACACACTCAAACAAATACACACACAAGCACACACACACACACACAAACAACCACAACGCCAAATACACTCCCACAAACCAACACTAACATACTCTCACATAAACAAACACAGACACAAACACACACATACACATAGACATGCAAGAACACCCACAAACAAAAATACACATGCACAAGTGCACACACACACACACACACACACAAAAATATACACACACAAACACATACACACAAACATACACAAACACACGCAAACACATACATACACAAAAACACACAAAAGCATAAGAACACAGACACACACACACACAAGCACAAAAAACACAAAACAATACACACACAAATAACCACACATACAAAAACAAACGCACACATTTAAACAAACACATAAACACACACACAAAGAAAACAGAAACACACACACACCCACAAAAAACACAAGTACAAACACACACCCACAAACAAAAATACACATGCACAAACACATACACAAACACACAAAAAACATATACACACACACACAAACAAACATGCACGTACAAACAACAAACATACACAAAAACACACACACAAAAACAATAGAACACAGACACACACAAACACAAAACACAGACACGAAGAAAACTGAAAAACAAACACACACGCACACACACACACTTAAACACACACTTAAACACACACAGACACACACTCTAGAGAAGTGCTTTGTGAGGAGAGAAAGGGGAGTGTCCTAATCAGTGAATGAACGGCCTGCAAATGCTGCTTATTTTGTCATCATTCACCATGACTAATTATGACCCATTATTCCTCATCAGCAATGACACACAATGTCCGGCAACTAATGGACACACACACACACACACACACACACACACACACACACACACACACACACACACACACACACACACACACACACACACACACACACAGAGAGAAAAGGGAATTACCAGACACCCTCAAAATAGCTTTCCCCAAAAAGCAAACAAAGATATTTACATTAAATATGAGTGAAACTATTTTTATAATCATTAATTGATATAGCAAGGTAGTTGGTGCACTAGCAAGCACCCTAAAAAGTGTGCTTAAGGTGTATGTAGAAACCATTTTCACTTAGAAATTGCCTGTAAAGTTCACAAATAAATACAAGTAATAAGCTTGAATTAGGGTAACACGGTGGCTCAGTGGTTAGCACTGTCACCTCACAGCAAGCAGATCACTGGTTCGAGTCTGGCTGGGTCATTTGGCATTTCGGTGTGGAGTTTGCATGTTCTCCCCGTGTTGGTTTCCTCCGGGTGCTCTGGCTTCCCCCGCAGTCCAAACCCATGCAGTATAGGTGAATTAAATAAATTGGCTGTCGTGTATGTGTGTGATTGAGTGTGGGTGTTTCCCAATACTGGGATGCAGCTGGAAGGGCATCCGCTGTGTAAAACATATGCTGGATGAGTTGGCGGTTCATTCCGCTGTGGCGACCCCTGATGAATAAAGCAGAAGGAAAATTAATGACTGGATATTCAGCCAATTTCCGATTGGAATATCCTACAATTTGTCAAGTAAAACATGTGTAATGTGACGTAACGTTTATTTTATATGACATCACGTCAGCCGGAAGCATGTTTTATCCGCGCGTAATTGATGATTCTCCTTGAGTTTGCTGTCTTAAATCTCTGTTCGTTTTTTTGTGACGGAGCTGAACAATGAGTGTGCCCGCGGCTGTTCCGTGTCCTAGTTGTGCTCCATCACTCGCTCATCCACTTTTCCTCCATCCTCCCCGTGAATGAGATGGATTTGTGCTGAGGCGCGCTCCTCTTATCTCGCGCGCGCAGCCGGCCGCTCATTTGCGCGCGTCTGTCGGCCGTCAGCCCGAGCGCGCGTCCATTTAGACGGACAGATAGCCATCAGAGCACTGGCTCTATTCATTAAAACAGCCTGAAATGAGCGCTTATCTGCTCCATCACAGCCGTCTTTTAATTAGCGATATTCAAAGGAGACGAGAGGGACAGAATGTATCTCTGGCGGAACACTATGTGATTTCTGAAGCCTTTCTAATTCTCTGAAGTGCCTGAATTTGACAACCAAAATGTTTCGGCTATAAATGCGTCATAAATTTGACAGTTTTACTAAATATAATAGTGATTTTAAAATAAATATTCATCATATCTACAAATTGTATATACATATTTACTCTTTAATATTTAGAAATATACTATTTTTCTATTTGTCGTGTGTATGTTTCTTTTTCCTATCGGTTAATCCTACATTGTTTAAATGTTTGTAATGGGAATCATCATTGACAATAATGTAAATGTGAAATAAGGCTAAAAATTTTGAGCTTAATTAATAAGTGACATGTCCTTAAAGGGACAGTTCATATAAAACGGGAAATTCTCTCATCATTTATTCACCCTTGACTTATCACAAACAAACTTGTTTAATTTTCCTTTTTTTAAAACACACACTAACTTATTTTAAAAAATGTTGAAAAACGAACCATTGACACACACACACACACACACACACACACACACACACAGACACACACAGAGACACACAGAGAGAGAGAGAGATAAAAACACACACAAACATAAACACTGACACAAAAATTCATGTACACACAAACCTATACACAGAGAAATAAAAAAAATGCATGCACACAAATACATAAAAACACACACAAACACAATCACACAGACAAAAACACACAAACCTGGACAAGCACACACGCAAACATACGCACAAACACACACAAACATACATGTACAGATAGACACAAACTTACGCACAAACATTCATGAACAGGCAGCCACACACACTCACTCACTCACTCTCACACACACACACACACACACACACACAATTGCCACATACCCATACTCACACACAAACACTCAAACAGACACACACATACATACACAACATCACTCATACAGAGTGACACACATACATACACAAGCACACACACACACACACATACACAAACAAACACAGACACAAAAATTTATGTACACACACACACACACTGACTTACACTTACACAAACACAGACACATACAGACAAAAACACAAAGAAAAAAACACAAACCTACACAAGCACACACAAATATACATACACACATAGACACACACAAACACACAGTCGCACACACCAAAACACAAACTCACACACAAAGACAAAACACACACACATACACAAACAAACAGACACAAAAATACATGATGTACACACCCACACTCACACATACACAAACACACACAGACACACAAAGACAAAAACACATGAACCTACACTAGCACACATGAACAAACTTACACACAAACACACACACATAGATGCATATACACACACAGACAAACAAAGACACAAACACAAACATTTACAAAAACACACACAAACAAAAACACACACAAACCTACACAAGAGCACACACACACAAACATACACAAGTGTAACCCCGCTGGTCCTACACCACCCAACCCGCTCCAAGCTGGAATCAAACCGGCGACTTTCCACATGAAATTTATGCTAGCATCTGTCTCTAGAGCACCTTCGGAGGTCAGGGAAGTGATGTTTACCTGCACAGCACTAACTAGCTGGTCTCCGTTACGCTCACTCCCCTATACCTCACTCCCGTCCGAGTCACGGCACACAGTTTCCAACATTCTTCAAAGTATCTTCTTTTGAGTTCAACAGAAAAAAAGAACGTCATAAAGGGGTATAAGTTCATAAATCATAATTTGGGGTGATCTATCCCTTTAACATCGTATTAGTACTGCACTGTGAAACACAACAGTCAGCTTTATCAACTAAAATGAGTGTAGTCAACTCAAAATTGACTGAAAGTTAATTCTACTCATTTGAAAAGAGTTTGGACGACGCGGTGGCGCAGTAGGTAGTGCTGCCGCCTTACACCAAGAAGGTCGCTGGTTCGAGCCTCGGCTCAGTTGGCGTTTCTGTGTGGAGTTTGCATGTTCTCCCTGCCTTCGCGTGGGTTTCCTCCTGGTGCCCCGGCTTCCCCCACAGTCCAAAGACATGCGGTACAGGTGAACTGGGTAGGCTAAATTGTCCGTATTTTGTGAATGTGTGTGTGTGGATGTTTCCCAGAGATGGGTTGCGGCTGGAAGGGCATCCGCTGCGTAAAAACTTGCTGGATAAGTTGGCGGTTCATTCCGTCGTGGCGACCCCGGATTAATAAAGGGACTAAGCTGACAAGAAAATGAATGAATGAATGAATTAAAAGAGTTTTGAACTCAGTGTTGAAGGTAATGAGTTAATTAAATACCTCAACTTAAATGGAGTAAGTTCACAGTACTCATATAGATTCTTTTTTTAACTCAAATGGTTTGTTGCAATCGGTTTCCTCAAACGGTTTGAGTTCCCTTAACTTATTGTGTTTAAAAGTTCTCGGTTGATTTGAGTTCTCTTCATTTATTGGGTTTTACTGTGCTCAAATTGCTTCGTTTACTCAAATGGATTAAGTTCAGAGCATTCATTAGGATTAGTTTTTTTAACTTAAATGGTTTGTTGCAATCGGTTTACTCGAATAGTTTGAGTTACCTTAACTTATTGGGTTTTACAGTTTTCATTCTATTCAAACATCTATATTTTTCTGTGTGTGTGTTTTGTGTTTAGGTTCACATATGAGATTGCGCCTGTGTTTGTCCTGATGGAGCAGCTCACACTCAAGAAGATGCGGGAGATCATCGGCTGGCCAAACGGAGATGGAGATGCGCTCTTCTCACCTGGTAAACTGATCACAAATTCAATTCAATTCACCTTTATTTGTACAGGGTATATTATACTACAAAACACCACATATTACTGTAAAAACTACAGTCCCTTATATTATAATATTTAATACAGTTTACTATAGTTAATACAGCATGATGTAACATTCATTAACAAGTAGTTGTGAATACTATAATTTATACAGTATAATATACTTCACATGGTTCAAAAACTCTAGCACATAGTATCTTTTCATGTTGGATGTATCCGGGAAAGCAGTTGATGCTAAACGCAGTCGTCTTTTCACAGGTGGTGCCATATCAAACATGTACAGTGTGATGGTTGCGCGGTATAAATATTTCCCTGAAGTCAAAACCAAAGGCATGTCTGCGGCTCCGCGGCTCGTGCTGTTCACATCTGAACATGTAAGTGCACACAGACTGTAGAATACATGTAAGTGTACATTACTGTTAAACACAGCGGCTGTCTCCCTCTAGAGGACAGCATTATTAATGCGGGAAAGTGGATCTGTTTTGGACCATTTGATTGATGGCCGGCCATTTCTTTTTTCGCAGAGTCATTACTCAATCAAGAAGGCAGGAGCTGTTCTTGGATTTGGCAAAGAAAACGTCATTCTCCTGAAGACAGATGAGAGGTATGGCGTACAGTGTATACCTGACATGTTTATTATAATTTTGTAATTATGAATGTATGGAAACTTCAAAGAACATAGCACAGTTTATTTGAAATAAAATAATGACAATGGATAATAATGTTACTGATGAGGGCAAAATTATTAGCCCTCTTGTGAAATATTGATTCTTTTTCAACTATATTTTTCAATGGAGCAAGGACATTTTCACAGTATTTCCTATAATAATATTATTTCTTCTGGAGAAAGTCTTATTAGTTTTATTTTGGCTGGAATAAAATATGTTAAGGTCAATATTATTAGCCCCTTTAATATTTTTCCCAATTAGTTACAGAAATGTGTTGGAAAAAACCTCTCCATTAACAGCACTTGGGTGAATTTTTATTTAGAAAATTATAATGTACACAATAAGATTACTAATTCTGATTTCAACTGTTCTTTGCTGAAAAATTTCTCCTTCTTTTGTTTTTTGACAGTACTTACTGCAAACTTATGGACCTCTGTTGCAGTTTTCAAAAAGATATGAATAATATTAAAATGTTTTTTCAGCATTAATTCCTGAAGAATCATGTGATTATGTAGATAAATTACGTTTTAATAAAATAAATTACATTTAAAAATAAAAATAAATTACATTTTAATAAAATAAATACATTTAAAAAATGAAAATGAATTACATTTTAATGCTCAAATGTTGATTTATTTTAAACCACATAGGGTAAAATATGGACAAACCCAAATCTTTTGTTAAATTGGGTCCTAGAGTCAGTGGTGTAAAATAACACAATACCAATACTCAAATGGCTGTAATTCAGTAGTTTTTCTCAGAAATGGTAATTTACTAAGTAGTTTTAAAAATGTAAACTTTTACTTTCCCTTAAGGTACATTTTTAGTGCTGCATGTATCAGTACATTTACTCCATACTTTTCTTCAACTTGCAGTCACTACCTTATTTTTTCTTGTCTATGGGGATTAGAAAAATCAGTCCTGTGATTCCTGTCCAATGAAATCGCACATAGAAGGTAAATCACATCACAATAATCTACCTCAAGACATGGGTCGATTTATTCATTCATTCATTTATTCCTTCATTAATTTTCTTTTTAGCTTAGTCCCTTTATTAATCTGGGGTGGCCACAGCGGAATGAACCGACAACTTATCCAGCACATGTTTTATGCAGCGGATGCCCTTCCAGCTGCAACTCATCACTAGGAAACATCCATAAACTTTAAAGGCTTAACTAGGTTAATTAGGTTAACTATGCAGGTTAGGGTAATTAGGCAAGTTATTGTATAATGATGGTTTGTTCTGTAGAAACAAATCGGAAAAATATATAGCTTAAGGGAGCTAATAATTTTGTCCTTTAAAATGTTTTTTAAAAAAACTAAAACTGCTTTTAATCTAGCTGAAATAAAATAAATAAGACTTTCTCCAGAAGAAAAAATATTATCAGACATACTGTGAACATTTCCTTGCTCTGTTAAACATCATTTGGGAAATATTTAAAGAAGAAAAATATATTTAAAGGGGGGCTAATAATTCAGAGTTCAACTGTGTGTGTGTGCGTGTGGGCGTGTGTGCGTGTGTGCATGTGTGTGTATGTGTGTGTATGTATAAATATATTATGTATATTCATATTATCTTTTAAAATGTAACATATTCTTATGATTCAAAGTTGACTTTTCTATATATTAAAACACATTTTATATCTAATAATATTTCTGAGTACCACTTTACTGTATTTTCCAATAAATAAAATAAGTAACAAATGACCTCTTTTTTAAAGCTAAAGATATAAATATAAATATATATATATATATATATATATATATATATATATATATATATATATATATATATATATATATATATAATATAAAGTAGAAGTCAGAATTTTAAGTCCTGCCCACATTCATAATGTCTTTTAGTAATATTTAATGACCAGAACTATTAAAGTACATAATTTATGTAAAACAGAATTATTAATGACAAGGTATAATGATATTGTATATACTTTGCTGAATAAAATGATTCATTTCTTTGTGTTTACATTTTGACCTCGCTTACCAACTTATGGAACTCTAATGATTTCCATAACGATACGATTAATAAGATATGTCTTGAGGAGCAAATTAATAAAGAATCACGTGAGGCTGATGCTGAAAATGAGAAGGTTTTAAATCAAAAATAGATATTTTAAATTGTAATAATACTTTCTAATATTACATTACAATTATACAGTATTTTTTACTGAATAAATGCAGCTTTCTTTTCTTTCTTAGTCACTTATATCTCATTTGCTGTCTTGTTTCAGGGGGCGTGTCATACCTGCTGACTTAGAGGCTAAAGTCATTGATGCCAAACAGAAGGTATGTAAACATCGACCACAATGCCCTGCTCTGGTATTAGACAAGTGAGTGAGAGTATTTAACCTGCACGTCTGAAGAGTTCAGTGGATCAATACTGAAGCAGGACAAGCTGAGAGATAATATGACCATGAGGGCTAATTCCAAGTCTTTCTGTTTATAAAGTGGTGCTCTTCTGTTAGTGTCAACAGTGATGTGATTGTAAATCTGTGTTTTAGGGATATGTCCCACTGTTTGTGAATGCCACGGCTGGTACTACAGTATATGGAGCGTTCGATCCGATCAATGACATTGCTGACATCTGTGAGAAGTACAACTTGTGGTTACATGTGGATGTAAGTTTGACCAGTGTTTTCAATGATGACTGATAAAATGTTGGGCTGACCCATATAGAAATCTGATATATGGCCATATATGCAAATTACATACGGTTGAAGTCTGAATTCAAAAATCACAGGAGGGCGAATCATTTTAACTTCAACTGTATATGAAAATTACAAATATGACATACAAATTCATGTTTGGATTTTTATGTGACATATTTCTAAATATTGCAAAAATAGCAGTTACATAAATATTTCTCAACCTTTGGAATTACAATTATGTGCATATATGCTAAAATATATTGGATATATATATATATATATTTATATATATATATATATATATATATATATATATATATATATATATATATATATATATATAATGTTATAATAATGTTATAATGTTATAATAATGTTATAAATAATAATGTTCACATTAATTAAGTATTATTAAATATATATAGTGCTCAGCATATATAAGTACATCTCACACAAATCTGTCTTTTAAATTCATATTTTTAATAGGAAGCAATACAATATTATATTTTTGCATAAACATTAGATAAGTCAGCACTGAAGCTAAATCTGGAGCTAATCTAACAAAATAATTTATGATAACTGTCCAAAAAGTAGCACACTCAAATGTATGTTATAGAAAAATATTAAATACAAATTTTAAACAGAGGAAAAATCAAGAGAACCAAAAAAAGAGAAAAATTTAGTTGATGTTTTGTAGGTTGTAATCTTATTTATTTATTTATGTATTTATTTATTTATTTATTTATTTTTATTTTTTTATTTTTTATTTTAATTAAATTAAATTTTATTTTAATTTTATTTTTTATTTTTATTTTTTTTGCAATATTTAGCTTGAATTTAATTGTATTATCTTTCAATTTCTAAATATGTTCGGTGACTAAAATATTATTTGAATAAATATATCTGTTCAATAAATCTGTTTTGTTTAAATGCACCAATTTATATTACCCATATTCACTGAGAAATGGATTAAAATATTAATTATCAAAGTGAGGTGTACTCAGTTGTGCCGAGCACTGTATGTATATATATAATTATATATAAAATTAAATGTATGTTTGTCAATCATACAGTTCATAGATGTGTCTACTAATATACTGATTATATATTGAATTCACAATAGCCAAGTTTATGTCATGTTTCTGCTTTAACTGGTTTTATTTTATTACATTAGTCATATTTTAACAACTTATCCTTTTGAACAGCATAAATGTTTTTTTTTCATATAACAAACAGATTTGTCAACTATTTGATTAAATATTTTTAAATATGAAAAATATTATTATTTAGGTTAATTCAAAGAGATTCAAATTGTGTGATATTAAAATGAAGTACAGTGCTCAGCATAAGTGAGTTCACCCTATTCTGAAAATTAATATCTTTATTAATTTCTCAGTGAATGTAGGCAATGTCTTTTGATGCATTTAAACAAAACAGATTTATTAAACAGATATATTTATTAAAATAAAATTTTAATCACCAAATATTTTTTTTAAAAATTGAAAGATAATACTATTAAATTCAAGCAAAATAATGCAAAAATAAATTACAACCTACAAAAATTCAACTAAACTTTTCCCTTTTTTTGCTTCTCTTGATTTTTCCTCAAGAGATAAAAAAATTTTCTATAACATATAAATTTAGATGTACTCGTTTTTGGACCGTTATCGTAAGTTATTTTGTTAGATTAGCTCCAGATTTGGCTTCAGTGCAGAATAATCTAGTGTATATGCTCAAATATAATATTGTATAGCTTCCTTTTAAAAATATAAATTTAAAAGAGAAATTTGTGAGGGATGTACTTACAGTTGAAGTCAGAATTATTAGCCACCCTTTACATGTTTTTCTCTTTTTAAAATATTTTCTAAATGATGTTTTACAGAGCAAGGAAATTTTGTCTGTTAATATTTTTTCTTCTGGAGAAAGTCTTATTTGTTTTATTTTGGCTAGAATAAAAGCAGTTTTTACATTTTTTAAACACCATTTTAAGGACAAAAGTATTAGCCCCTTTATGCTAATTTATTATTTGACAGTCTACAGAACAAACCATCATTATACAATAACTTGCCTAATTACCCTAACCTGCCTAGTTAACCTAATTAACCTAGTTAAGCCTTTAAATGTCACTTTAAGCTGTATGGAAGTGTCTTGAAAAATATCTAGTCAAATATTATTTACTGTCTTTATGGCAAAGATAAAATAAAACAGTCATTTGAGACAAGTTATTAAAAATATTATGTTTAGAAATGTGTTGAAAAAATCTGCTCTCTGTTAAACAGAAAACAGGGAAAAAATAAACAGGGGGGCAAATAATTCTGACTTCAAATGTATATATGCTGAGCACTGTATATAGAAAAATAATGGGTAGAATTTATTTATTCATTTATTTATTTTAGAATGAATTACAAAAATGGCAAGTAATACCCTGAATTAACCCTTACCTATATAACTTTTTTTTAAATAATAATCAATTTATTTATTTTGAACTTCAAAAATGTTTGTGTAGTGCTTTACATTATCTGTAATGCTAACTAAATGGGTGCACATAATAAATAAATCACAGAATAAGCCATTAAATGGGTCTTAGGTCAGTGTTATCTGTGTTTATTCAGGGTGCGTGGGGTGGAGGACTGTTGATGTCCAGAAAGCATCGTCACAAGCTGAGCGGCATTGAGAGGTCTGTATGTGACAATGACTAAAACTAATGTAAATCACAATACAGCTGCAGTGAGAGCTGAAAACCCACTTATCTGTGTGTGTTTCAGGGCAAACTCCGTCACGTGGAACCCTCATAAGATGATGGGTGTGCCTTTACAATGTTCAGCCATCCTGGTCAGAGAGAAGGTGAGACCTGAAAAGTTATCACAATGATATTTGCTTTTCAAATATTTCCAAAATCCATCCATAAATTTGGTTGTTAACCCTTTATAGTATATGAAACTTATTGAAATACTTTTACTGGAGGTTACTGCAAGACCTTTGAACTTTTATGACATAAACGTGTCAAAAATCAGGTGGGCAGGTGAATAAGAGTTAAATATGATAAAATAAGGATGTCTGCTCTTCTGTTCCAGGGCATTCTCCAGGGCTGCAACTCCATGTGCGCAGGTTACCTCTTCCAGCCGGACAAACAGTACGACGTGACCTACGACACCGGAGACAAGGCCATCCAGTGCGGCAGACATGTGGACATCTTCAAATTCTGGCTCATGTGGAAGGCCAAGGTTGGTCACAGTAGCACATTAAATCTGGTCCTGATACACATCATAGCTAAACAGCTTAAAGAAATATCTATGTTAATGTTTACAATGTCTTAACATGATTTAGTCACAATGAGCATACATTTATATGAATTTTGTGATCTAATTAATCTATATACAGTATAATTTTTTCTATTAAAAATAAAAGTATAATATGTTAAGGATAAAGTACATCCAGGAGGTTTTGAATCACAGAATAAAGCCATTGTTGAATAAAACTGAAGGCCTTTACTCTGTGAAAACAGCCATCCTGAATGTTCTTTGTCTCACTGATTACACTGCTACTTGCTCACAAAACATACAAATTAATCACAAGCCATTGTTCTGTACTGCTATAAAGCTGACAGAAACAAAAACAGCTGATGGAGGATACACTATCCCGCGCATTATTCAGGCACAAGATGGCGCCAAACAGACAAAAACACAAAGCTGACAGAAACTAAATAGCTGATGGAGTATACACTAACCTGTGCATTATTCAGACACAAGATGGCGCCAAACAGACAAAAACACAAAGCTGATAGAAAATAAAATAGCTGATGGAGTATACACTAACCTGCGCATTATTCAGACACTAGATGGCACCAAACAGTCAAAAACACACTGCTGACAGAAACAAAATCAGCTTATATACGCTAACCCACGCATTATTCAGACACAAGATGGCGCCAAACCGCCAAAAACCCAAAGCTGACAGAAATGAAAGCAGCTGATGAAGTATACACTAACCTGTGCATTATTCAGACACTAGATGGCACCAAACAGTCAAAAACACACTGCTGACAGAAACAAAATCAGCTTATATACGCTAACCCACGCATTATTCAGACACAAGATGGCGCCAAACCGCCAAAAACCCAAAGCTGACAGAAATGAAAGCAGCTGATGAAGTATACACTAACCTGTGCATTATTCAGACACAAGATGGCACCAAACAGTTAAAAACACACCGCTGACAGAAACAAAATCAGCTTATATACGCTAACCCACGCATTATTCAGACACAAGATGGCGCCAAACCGCCAAAAACCCAAAGCTGACAGAAATGAAAGCAGCTGATGAAGTATACACTAACCCGTGCATTATTCAGACACAGGAGGGCGTCAAACAGACAAAAACACAAAGCTGATAAAAACTAAAACAGCTGATGGAGCATACACTAACCCGCATATTATTTATTCACAAGACGGCACCAAACAATCAAAAACAAAAGCGTGACAGACAAGCAGATACATTTGAATGTGGATGTAAGTATATGGATTTGAACGTATTGCCCGATGATCAAGGTGATTCGAAGTTCCCCAATGAGCCGGTGTTATTTAGAGGCAAATTCTCCAGCAGGATAGCGCTCCTTCTCATACCTCAGCCTCCACATCAAAGCTCCTGAAAGCAAAGAAGGTCAAGGTGCTCCAGGATTGGCCAGCCCAGTCACCAGACATGAATATTATTGAGCATGCAGGGTAAGATGGAGGAGGAGGCATTGAAGATAAATCCAAAGAATCTTGATGAACTCTGGGAGTCCTGCAGGAACGCTTTCTTTGCCATTCCAGATGACTTTATTAATCAGTGATTTGACTCAGAGATGTATGGATGCAGTCCTCCAAGCTCATGATGGAGTCAGACACAATATTCATTCTGTCTCCACTGCAGCATGACTTTATATTCTATACTGGACATTATTTCTGTTCAGTGACAAGACTTTTGTCTAAGCAAGTCAGACTTTACTGTCCTAATTAAATTGTAAAAAATCAAGACATGATCATGTTTTATTTTGGTAAAACAAGCGTAATCTAGAGGCCTTCGCCTTTCATATAAACCACTTCTGATACCAAATGATCAACTAGAAGTCAAGCTATTATTTGTTGATTCTTAAACTTGGATAGGCAACAAGGCTTTAGTCAGGTAGTGTAGTATGTGAATATAGCTCCACATATTGTGTACATCCAGCATTAGCTATATAAAAGGGTGGCTGATATTATACTTACATTTTGTGATCGAGTAATTTTTTTTCTATATAATGTAATTCGGTTTATGAGGGATAAAGCTGGAAATAAAATAATAAACATCCAGTTATAGTGTTGTGCAATAAACCAGATGGTAAATATTATAATCACACGAGTCTACTTTATATATGCAGATGAAGTAGAATGTTTTATACAGCCATTTTCCGCTATCAAATCAGTGATGTGGCTTTAGCAATAAGTATTTAGCTGAGAAAAGAGCTTCATTGGGATTGTTGAATTTGATTTGTGCAGGGCACGATTGGGTTCGAGCAGCACATTGACAGATGTCTGGAGCTTTCTGAATATCTCTACAATAAAATCAAGAACCGTGAGGGATATGAAATGGTCTTTGAGGGCCAGGTTTGTATCTGGAACATACACATTTATTGATTCGAAGAAGTGCTTAGCTAATACTGCTGCTAATGGGTTTTTTATTGCTTTCCTCTGCTCTCCATAGCCCCAGCACACTAATGTTTGCTTCTGGTATATTCCACCGAGTCTGCGTGGCATGCCGAACGGAGACGAGCGAAGGGAGAAGCTGCACAGGGTACGTCGTCTCATCAAATTGGAATGAATGAATGAATGAAAAAGTATGAATGAAAGAATGATGAATAAATTAATAATTAATGAATGAAAAAGAAAGAAATATGAAACAATAAATGAATGAATTAATTAATTCATTCATTAAAAAGTATAAATAAAAGAATGACGAATAAATTAATAATTAATGAATAAAAAAGAAAAATATGAAGAAATAAATGAATGAATTAATTAATTATTTAATGAAAAAGTATGAATAAGAGAATGACGAATACATTTATAATTAATGAATAAAAAAGAAAAATATGAAACAATAAATGAATTAATTAATTAATTAATTAAAAAGTATGAATAAAAGAATGACGAATAAATTAATAATTAATGAATGAAAAAGAAAGAAATATGAAACAATAAATGAATGAATTAATTCATTCATTCATTAAAAAGTATAAATAAAAGTATGACGAATAAATTAATAATTAATGAATAAAAAAGAAAGAAATATGAAACAATAAATGAATGAATTAATTAATCAATTAATGAAAAATTATGAATAAAATAATGACGAATAAATTAATAATTAATGAATGAAAAAGAAAGAAATATGAAACAATAAATGAATGAATTAATTAATTAATTAATGAAAAAGTATGAATAAAAGAATGACGAATAAATTAATAATTAATGAATGAAAAAGAAAGAATTATGTAACAATAAATGAATGAATGAATTAATTAATTAATTAAAAAGTATGAATAAAATAATGACGAATAAATTAATAATTAATGAATGAAAAAGAAAGAAATATGAAACAATAAATGAATGAATTAATGAATTAATTAATGAAAAAGTATGAATAAAAGAATGACGAATAAATTAATAATTAATGAATGAAAAAGAAAGAAATATGAAACAATAAATGAATGAATGAATTAATTAATTAATAAAAAAGTATGAATAAAAGAATGACGAATAAATTAATAATTAATGAATGAAAAAGAAAGAAATATGAAACAATAAATGAATGAATGAATGAATGAATTAATGAAAAAGTATGAATAAAAGAATGACGAATAAATTAATAATTAATGAATGAAAAAGAAAGAAATATGAAACAATAAATGAATGAATTAATTAAATAATTAATGAAAAAGTATGAATAAAAGAATGACGAATAAATTAATAATTAATGAATGAAAAAGAAACAATAAATGAATTAATTAATTAATGAAAAAGTATTAATAAAAGAATGATGAATAAATTAATAATTAATGAATGAAAAAGAAAGAAATATGAAACAATAAATGAATGAATGAATTAATTAATTAATTAATGAAAAAGTATGAATAAAAGAATGATGAATCTTCATTTGCATAAAGTTGAAGGATTCTCAACTTTGTCGTGTCGCTCGACACGCCGACCTGGTTGCCAACAATGGCCGTTGCTCTCATAGACATAGTCGTACAGAGGTCGCTTACTCTATGCTGAAATAAACAGTCGCTTTTTGCTCTGCCTTTGCAAGTCGCTCATATTGTGAATGAGGCTTAAGACTCCCTATTGAAAAAATGTGGGCTCTCATTAAAACCCTCTGTGACTCTCCTGCAGGTGGCGCCAAAAATCAAAGCAATGATGATGGAGTGCGGCACCACCATGGTGGGTTACCAACCACAGGGAGACAAAGTCAACTTCTTCCGAATGGTGGTCTCCAATCACGCCGTCACCAAGTCGGACATCGATTTCCTCATCGATGAGATCGAGCGGCTCGGTCAGGATCTGTAAAACATCTATAATAGAGGCTCATTGGTCGCCTACGCGTTTAACGGCTATGTTTCGACGTTGTGTAGTTCTGTCCTTTCTTCTCAATGTCTTTAGATCTTTATATTACAGATTGCATAGCCTGTATAGCTACACAGTCACCTTACGACATATAGTCCATTGGGATAACAGCCGGTGCTTGTAAATACTATGAAGTCGAGCAAAAGCACAGCACTCTTTTAACGAAGCCCCTTTCGGTGTAATAGTGGGGTCTGTGTGTAAACCAGTGGTGGGTCTGTATTTTAGTGTTGTGTTTTTTAGATCTTCCCTTGTCGTAGGTCTTGTAAAGTGTTTAATCAGCACCTTTGTGAGGTGAAACATAAGTATTCAATTTTAAGTTGGAAATATTCTACCGATATTAAATAGATATAAAAATAAAGACCTTTATTATATCGTGAGCCAAACAGTCTCTCTCATTTGTAATGGCTCGTCATTTGTATTGAAAGACGAGTTATATATATAATCAAATAAATTTAGGCTAATGTTTAATGGTCCAGTAGTGTACTTGTGAGCCAAAGACAGAACTAGTGCCATACACTTTACAATATACTCCATATTCTTTGAAATAAGCAAGCATATAAATGATAGTATCGCGTTTATATTAATATATAAATATATATACTGTGTATGTTTGTCAGTGAGGCCCTTAACTCTGTGCAATCAGTGTGTTTGTTAGTGTATAAAATGTTATCGTGTGTATCTCTGACTGAATGTTACAAGCAATCCTATCAAATATCTGAAGGTAGTTAGTTACCAGATGTATATTGCTGATTATTGATATTCAACTCAGGCGATTGTTGCATCATATTTAAATAAGAAAATACTAATAAATAAAAGCGGAGGAAAACAATAAAGCACAATAACTAGAGAAGGAAGGCTGGAAATGTCCTCAGGATGCTGGAAGATTGTGTTCATACTAATATTTATTGAAAGTTTATTATTAATATTTAGATTCAGCTGTTGTGTTTGGAACGATGACTGTTTAGTGTTTCTGACAAATGCACAATAACCTCTTGTTTTTCCTCTATTGTTGACTGTATATGTTGAATGTGAGGAGGGGGATCCGCTCTCCTCAGCAAGGCTGGCACTTTAAAATGCAATCACCTTACTATGTGTATACTGTTATTATTAACACGTGTATGTACGCGGCACAATAAAATATATTAAAGTATATGAATGTTCTGTTGGTTGGTCGTCTTTTAAAACTATGTAAAATCGTACACCTTTATTTTAAAAGCCTATAATAAACATCTCACACTGAGTTGGTTTGAGTTACATTTATTATTTTTCTGATTTATTGTTTTGGTGTTCTGATTTATTATTGATGTTCAGGAAATATAAATAAATCAAAGAGAAAGAAAGAAAGAAAGAAAGAAAGAAAGAAAGAAAGAAAGAAAGAAAGGTGAATTAATGAAAAAAGAAGAAAGGAATTATGACTAAAAAACAGAATGAATGAATGAATGAATGAATGAAAATTCATTCAAAGAAAGAAAAAAAAAAGGTGAATTGATGAAAAAAGAAAGAAGGAATGATGAATGAATAAAAGAATGAATGAATGAATGAATGAATTAATGAATGAATTAATGAATGAATGAAAATTCATTTTAAAAAGAAAGGGGGAAATGATAAATGAATGAATGAATAAACAAAGAATAAATGTATGACTGAAAAAATTAAGAAAGAGAAAAAAGATGAATAAAAAGAAAGATGAAATAATGAATAAAGAAAGAACAAAAGAAAGATGAATGAATGAAAAATAAAATATGAAAGAATTAATGAATTTATTAATGAGGAATTAACAAAACAGAAAAATAATGAATTATTAAAAAGATGAATGAATGAATGAATGAATGAATGAATGAATGAATGAATGAATGAATTATTGAATGAATGAATTGATGAAAATTGATTAATGAAAGAATGATAAATGAATTATTAATGAATTAATGAAAAATTAGAGAAAGAAATATAAATAGATGGATGGATGAAAAAAATAAAGATGAATTAATTAATTAAAAAGTATGAATTAAAGAATGATGAACAAATCAACAATTAATGAATAAAATATTTAAGAAAAATGTCAAAAGAAAGAAAGAAATATAAAATAAGAGAGTAATGAATTAATGAATTAATGAATGAATTAATTAATTAATTAATTAATTAACGAATGAATGAATGAATGAATGAATGAATGAATGAATGAATGAATAATTAAAGAAAGAAAGAAAGAAAGAAAGAAAGAAAGAAAGAAAGAAAGAAAGAAAGAAAGAAAGAAAGAAAGAAAGAAAGAAAGAAAGAAAGAAAGAAAGAAAGAAAGAAAGAAAGAAAGAAAGAGTAAATCAGGAGCCACAACACGGGGACCAAGATTCCAAATGAAGTATGTTTTCCTGTTCTTGGCCTTTCCTTTTGCGTCTCAGTGTATTACCACTAATCTGCCACGGGGAGGCAGCAGATCTATATGTGTCGCACATTTGATGAAAAAAGACAGATATCCCATGATGATGTTATATTATGACCGCCCCCTCATGGTTGGCTGCAGTATTTTACAACAAAATATATTTATGTCGAAATGCGGAAAAATATTTAAAATAGTAATATGCATAGCCGAAAAATAAAAAGAAAAGAAGAAAGAGCGGTTTAATTGACTTTTTCTTTGTGCTACTTCTCTCATTCCTTTACTGCCACAAAACGATCATTCTAACATCTGAATTCACACAAATAATAAAGCGAACTTTTGCATGTTTAGTTGAGGTCTTTCCCTTTTATGCAATGCGTGTCAGTCAGGTGCATGCCAAAAAAGTTAATACATACATTTTTATTAATAATTAGTTTTTATCATGGTGACATATGGTCAAGTGTTAGTTTTTTTTTTTTTTTTTTAATAGAACACAACTAAAAACGAGTGGGTTACTACTGAAAGGAGCTAATCGTTAGTGAAATGATTCAAAAGATTCATCAAAAACATCCGACTCAAGCGAACGATTCATTCCAAAATCCATTCATTCCGAAATGACGTTTGTTTTTAACGCTTTGGTTGCATTTCGCATGCACACACCTGTATTATACCTACTAATGAGCTCTAAAACGGCTTTACTGCTTTATACTATGAAAAGAGCATCAGTCGCAGTCTCACCTGTGCGCCACATAAGCACGAGCACGCGCACGCGCCGTTCTTCCGGCACTGCCACGTCACTGTCCGCCGTCGCGCGCATCCCTGGGATACTCCGACGTGTCTGTCCACAAAACCGGCTGCTGGAGAAGAAAATAAAAAAAGACAATATTATTACCGGTGACACGGAGCGGGGATCATGGGGGGATCACAGAGCGTGGAAATTCCCGGAGGCGGTTCTGAGGGTTATCACGTTCTCAGGGTGAGTGTGCTTTAGAGATGCTTCCGCTCTTTGCCTCTCTCTCTTTCACGCATGCCGAAGATCGCGAGTCGCTTACGCGTGGATTTCAAATCAAGCCCGGGGATGTCATCGCGGCCTGCTAACAGCGGCTAATGTAGCTAAATCAAAATCTTTGCTTGCAATGTAAAGATGTTTACACTTCCAGTGGGTGGACGTGCTTCAGCATTTGACATTCGTGGGCTGGCCCTTTTTAAAATGCACGCCTTTAACCTATATATCTTACTGTATTACGATGTTTTTTTCTTGCAGTTGTTGGGTGTGAGGTTGAAAAAGCTCTAATTTTACATGTCAGTGTTGTGCTTGAGTGTTTACATGTTCAGCTTTCAACTGTCATGGCTCTGATTAAACCAATTAAAAGCATTCTACGCATGACCCATCTGAAACATGGAGGAAACAGCATAATTTGTGGATGAAAAGCATGTAATTATTGTTATTGTGTACATGGATGCATGAGGCAGTAGTTTAATGATAATATTTAAGTCAAGTGTCTGATATTAAAGCTTAGTTTACTTTGACATTTTTATGTTACAAACTATAATATTGCATGATCCTATTTGTAAGTAAATGTTTATTTTATTAGTTGTATTGACTGGCTTATTTGATGGTTCTACTGTATGCCGTGCTTTATCTGTGGCTTTATCTCTATTGTTCAGGTGCAGGAGAATTCTCCTGGACACAGGGCAGGTCTTGAACCCTTTTTTGACTTCATTGTGTCTATCAACAACACCCGACTGGTAGGTTTGATTCACATAGTGCATGATCATCCATTATTCAGTGAACTGGCAATTCTTGATTTTGAACAGCATTTAGGTTAGTGATATAAATGTGTGTTTGCATTCACTAATTACAGTTGTGTGTGAGCTTTTTGTTTTTTGCAAACTACCAATGACATTTCTTCCAAATCTAAAATGTCATTTTTAGGCTACAAATAATTAATTACTTATTAATTAATTAATTAATTAATTATAAATAATTAATTCACTGCTGCCTACGACAACAACGCCATTGTCCACCGCAATGTTTTACATTTAGATATCATACAATGCCAAGTTGGTTGACATCGCCCAGCCCTAATGGAACAAGTCTTATTAGCAGGGATGCACTGAAATAGATTTTTTTGGCCAATATTGATAACTGATAACTCTTGAGATTTGGAGGCTGATAACCGATATAACATAACCAAAAAATATAAATATTTCAAAATGTTAAATTTTTACACTGTGAACAACTTTATTTTAAAAACTTCATAAAAGTTTGAACTTATCTTAAAATAGCCTACTGAAAGCAAAAAAAGACTAATTGTAAAATTGCAGGGTGATTATATAGACCTATATTCATAATTTCACATAAATCAGCATGCCAAAAATAAATTATTTCCTTTTTTTCGCATGGCAAATTAACATGGAACGTGACTTGCATAAAAGTAATAGGTTAAATGGATTTAATTACAGGGTTCTTGCATCTTTTCCAACTTCAAATTCCAGCACTTTTCTAGCACTTTTAAGGTTGATGTTTATGCTTTTCCAGCACCTAACACCACTGTAAATTGCATGTATATACGCTGTAGTTTCTTTTATTTAACATTTAAATCCATTGTGCTATTTTAAAAAACAACGAAATCTGTGCATAAAGGTAAACATTTTGCAATGAAAACTGGTTGCACAGCAATGATTTTATGCACTTGCACAAATTCTCACAAATATATTTTGAGCTCGCATAGATAAAATTTGGGGAGCATATGCAACTAAAACAGTCGCAATTTCGAGCCCTGAATGCAATTTTAAATTCAAGCAGGTTCAAGCACTTTGTCCAAAATCTAAGCACTTTTCTAAGCTTGAAAACACAATTTTAAAAATCAAGCATTTTTTTCAGGATTTCCAGCACCTGTACAAACCCTGTAATTAACAAGTAAAATCAAATGAAAATAAAAAAAAAACCAGCTCAAATGTTCTTGAATTAAACGTGTCACAGTAATGTACATATGTACAAATATGTTATGTCAGAAAAAGTGTTTTGAGAGGTGTTTTGACGGGTCAGAGCCACCATACAAGCGAAAAGCTAAATACAGATAGTATTACTTTAGAAAATGCGGCATAAATTAGTCTAATATGTCGGTATAATATTACAAGCAACGCAATGAGTTGTTTTATAGCAGCAACGCACTCGTGCCATGTTTACACATGTAATATTTTACCTGAGGTGATTTAAACCAAAAAACACAATCGCACACTACCAAACATATCTACAATGATAAGGAACATGGTTACTCCTTACTGAGATATTAACACAGCAATACCACACAAAGAAAGAAAGGACGGACTATAAATGAATAAAAAATGTGAGGTAAGCTCCATTATAGTCAATAGTATTGACTATAATGTATACACTGGACAAGTCTGAACAATTTCAGCCCACGCATGTGCAAGGAAGACAGTTCTGTACAATTACATAATGTATCGGCTTAAAAATATCGGCCTAATGTTGATATCGGACCGATAACATTAATAAAAGCATTTATCAGCCGATAACGATATGGCCCCCGATATATCGTGCATCTCTACTTATTAGACATTTAAACAAATATTATTATCATATAATACTTGTATCCATAGTAAATCCAGAAAAAACTATTTTCAATGGTCTATTTTTTCACAATAAATAATATGGTCTAGATGCCAGGTCCACACATATTTTAAAATAGCATCATATCACCCAGTCCTCATTCATATGCTAATTACTGTTGTTTTTACATGGATTATTTATATTTTTTTTCTAAGAACAAGGACAATGACACGCTGAAAGACATACTGAAGGCTAGCGTTGAGAAGCCTGTGAAGATGCAGGTGTACAG